TTGTACCTCCTCTGAATCACTCAAATTTATCTCGTTACTGGTCGCCCCTCAGTATCATCTAATTCATTATCTGAACTAGTGCTTCCTTCACGCTCATTGAAATCATCGGTAGTCCCAAACCACCAGCGCCCCTTAGATGTGTTACCTCCACATAGAAAATCCATATCATCAAACTGAGGAAAGAGTTTGTTCTTAATTCTTAAATACTCATCATTTTCCTATGGTAGAAAATTCATAATAAATATATCATAGTTTTAATTATATAATATTCAAATGTTATAATGATACAAATTTAAATAATACCTTTATCAATGCCTCTCAATCTTTTGCAGTAGGTGCAATCATCATATTTTTACCTTCATCCTAACCCCAACCTAATTTATTTCGAAGTTTGTAATTGAGGGAACATTATTTTTTCAAAATTTTTTAATGGTTTTGCATTTGTAGTTTGCCTCTATCGTTTTGTCTAGTCCTAACTTTATACTCATCAGTTACATTTTTTTATTACTCGGTAGTGAAATAACCTTCATTGTTCTTTCCTTTAAGGATCATTTCCTTTAATATTCTCATCAAACAATTATCTTCCTCTATAGTCCAGTTCCTGACACGAGGTCTTGACTGCCCACCTTTAGGTTGAGATTGAGATATGAAGTTCTTCTTAGCCATTCTAGATCATAATGAGAATTTTAAAATAAATTAATCAATTAAACAATGATATGTAAACTATTCATAAGTAATCGAAGTGAGTTCAATGTCTAGTTTATATCAACAAAGAAAGAGTGACATGTGTATGTGCTAATGTAATCAAACAAATACTGTAATGGAAGTGATGCATAAGTAATCAAACAAATACTGTAACTGACATTGAACAATGCTATGTAAACAATTCAGTAATCGAAGTCATACTGTAACCGAATCAAAAAATTGAGTCAATTGTAATCGAAGTCAATAGTTTACTGGACAATTCTATGTAAACAATGTCCAGTTAAAAAATTAAGGTAATTGCTGGACAATACTATGTAAACAATGCAAGATCAAAGATTCAGTTGCATTTGTAAGTTTATTGGTATGTCCAGTTAAAAAATAGAGTTCACTGTATGCTAATTTCTGCACATATGAATATAGCACATATTTGGGGTTGAATTTCCAGCACATAAATGATCTTACTACTATCAATACCTAACCATCTAAATGATTCCATCACAAAAAATAATGTTCAGCTCTAGCAAACTGAGATATTTCATAGGATTATAAATAACAATCCAAATGAAGGGTTACAGGGTTATTCTTCAATGAGAAAATACAGAAATATGTGTAACTAGACTGTATGCTACATAAAAATGTCCAGCTCTATCATTTGTGTAACTGGTCTGTATGCTACTTTCTGCACATATGAATATAGCACATATTTGGGGTTGAATTTCCAGCACATAAATGATTTTACTGCTATCAATACCTAACCATCTAAATGATTCCATCACAAAAAATAATGTTCAGCTCTAGCAAACTGAGATATTTTATAGGATTATAAATAGCAATCCAAATGAAGGGTTACAAGGTTATTCTTCAATGAGAAAATACAGAAATATGTGTAACTGGACTGTATGCTACATAAAAATGTCCAGCTCTATCATTTGTGTAACTGGTCTGTATGCTAATTTCTACACATATAAATATAGAACGTATTTGGTGTTGAATTTCCAGCACATAAATGATCTTACTGCTGTAGGCTGTCTAAAAATCACAATAGATAGCTTATCCTCCATCAAACACCGATAATGGAAGTTACAATCTAACGACTTCCAGAAGGCTACAATTTGAAGACTTTCACGTAGATCGCTGAAGGTTATAATCTGACGACCTTCACGACAACCGATGAAAGCTCTAGTTCAACAGCATTCACAATCAACATCGGGAGTTACAATCTGACGACTCTCATATTCTCAAGGAGCCAAGACGAACATTACAAGACAATGATCTTTGCAACGCTATGACAAAAGAGATTACTTTGTGATAATCTCTTCAAGACAAGACGCGGAGGTCCTCCCCGTGTGTCAACATCAAAACGCCAGGGTCGGCTGTCAACATCAAGACGCGGAGGTCCTCCCCGTGTGTCAACATCAAAACGCTAGGGTCGAACCCGCGTGTCGTTACAACATCAAAACGCCAGGGTCGAGCCCGCGTTACAACATCAAAACGCCAGGGTCGAGCCCGCGTTACAACATCAAAACGCCAGGGTCGAACCCACGTTACAACATCAAAACGCTGGAGTCGGACCCGCGTTGCCAGGGTCGAGCCCGCGTTACAACATCAAAACGCTGGAGTCGGACCCGCGTTACAACATTAAAACGCTAGGGTCAGACCCACGTTTTTTAATGCCCAACGAATACCCAACTCCGCGTCTCAATTCTAAAACGCGGAGTTAGGATCCTGAATGCCCACGTGGGCGTTTGACTCGTTCAAACACTAGCTGAACGATTGCAGGAACCGTTTTCCCTCCACGATTTGAGGGATTTTCGCCCCACTATGGAGAGAATTAAGGGGGCGGTTACACCCCTTAATTCCCTATAAATATGGGCACTCAACTGAGTTAAGGGCTGGCATTTTCGGATCTGAGAATTGAGCAGCAAAGGTTTTGGAGAGATCTGGCCTTGACCTTCAGCAAAATTCGGAGCAACAAGTGAGTCTCGAAAGATTCCTGGAGGCATAAGCTTTTTATCTTGGCCCTATTAAACGATACTTTCGTGTAGATTCAACTCTCTTTCAAGAGTTCAAATCGTTTTCAGGAGTTTCAACGTCATCTCGTCGAAGAGAGTTCAAACTTGCACGCACGTTTGGTTTTTTTCTCCACAACTTTAAATCGTGAGGGAGGAGACTATCGTTCCAGTGAATCAGACGTCGGATCTCACGGAGAGGCAAATTTCGCACGCGAGCATCGATCAGGAGGCATTCCATCCGCTAACCGATAGAAGAACCCAGTTTTAACAAAGGAGAAATCCAATTCGTTCTCTTTCTCTTTTGTAATTCAAGTTGTAAAATCGGAATCGCAATAGAAATACTAGTCATATTTTTTTTATTTTTCATTGTAATTTCCTACAAACATAAGATGGCGACGTCGAAGAAGTGGTGGCGCAATCCGATGTTCATCTCACTGGAACAATCGTCGAAACTCTCGTGGTAGAGTTTGATCAAGCCAAGTTTGAGGAGGCTATCTCCTCCGGATCTCTTAGCCCCAAGGCTATGCGCAAGATCCACAAGGTTTCCAAGGAGACTAAATCTCCAACTGTTGCTGGAGTGCCAAAGGAAGTCCTCTCTTTTGGCCATAATTTGTCGAACAGCCCCACTGCTTCAAGAGCGAGCTTAGCCTCAGCCAAACTCGCCCAGCGAGTTGAATGTCCCACATCCGCGCCAATACGATGTGTTATGGGTGGTAAAAGGCCTACGATGGAGATGGATCCAATCAACGCTAATGATGCTCCTGCAAAAGCCTTAAAACAGGCCAAGAGGAACGCTGCTCGTCGAAGAAGAAGGTCTCAGCGACGAGCACAACTCCGAAAAAGTCAATCCTCCAACCAACGCGAACTTCGCGTTCGTGAGCCTAAACGTGACCCTGAACTTCGCGTTTATGAGCCCAAACATGAGCTTCGCGAGAACCAGAGACCCCCGAATTCTCTGCGTAGCGCGACTAGATTGAGGGGCGGATATAAGAAGTTCATGGATTCAAGGCCTCTCAACCAGATCCATGTTCACCGAGAGCCAGTCCTGTCCAATCATGGACTGGGGGTTCCAATTCAAACCTCGCAATCAGTGAGTAATTCTCGAGTCTTTACAACAGACTTGAGAGAGTTCATATCGAGAGAAAGATCGATACAATACGTCATTCGTTCATTCCAATATGAACGACTGATTCTTACGGTCCTCTCGGGATGTCAATGTTGCTCATATGCGGCCAAACCATTGGTGTTCGACCAATTTACGAATGTTGCTTTGCCCAACCAACGACGACGTTCTCACAGTGAGAGATTGAGAGATTGTTTGAGGGGTTTAGTTTGAGAGATTGTAAACCCTATTTGTATTCTCCTCTCTATAGTAGATCTCCCCCCTCCTTGCCCCGTGGACGTAGGCAATTTGCCGAACCACGTAAAAATTGGTTGTCTCGTTATTTGTGTGATTTGTAATAGCTTTTAGGTTCACTCGACGCGCAGTCCTAGAGCTGACGAGAGGAAGAGCAAATATCCCACTTTGATGGGATATTAGGCTTCAGATTCTTGTTCCCTTTAAGAAACAAGAATTCTTATTGCGACCTGACTCTCTTGTTGTGCTGCCGAAGTGCTGCCGAAATTTCCACTGCGCGCAACAATTCCTCCTTCTTGACTTCAAATTTAAATCGTCGAATTGATCCACTTACACAATATAAATTTGTCTCCTTATAACTTGGTTTTAAAAAAGATCTCAAAATCAATTAAGATTTCTAAAAATAATATGTCTCCTTATAGACATAGCTACGAGAAAATTTATACCAAAATAAAAAAAACCTAATACTTGACAGCGCTTTAACCATTTTTATTGCTTTATTTGTTCCTCCTAGATATTCCAAGAGAAAGCTGACCTACATCATGTACCCTTAAAAGTCTATGTCATGCTCGTGACACCATCTATATAGTTTGACACCATCTATATATTTAAACTCTTACAATTCGAGTATAATTGTTATGGATAACATCTATTATTCACATAGAGAAAATGTACACTTCCTTGTATGGCTATCCTTGCCTCTTTTTAGCACAAAAATCTCACAATAAACTTAATGTTTAATTACAAATAATTTATACACTTATTCTTAAAAGCAGACCCAATATATTGGGTTTTGCACTCTTATCAAACAATATCACAATTCTTCTTTTCTTTTCATGATGTCATTCCATAGATTTAAAACAAAATTGTAAATACATATGCATTGCAAATGCTCAAACTCTAATCCCATGAGTAATCAAATATAGGCAGCAGTAGTTTTATCACACAGGATATACTTCAGAACCAGGGCTAACCTGCCAATAGAGAATTCGTTGTGTAGCAGCACCTGTTGGGTTACCCTCAGGCCACATAGGAACAATTATATATGCAGAAAATCTCTCATTAGCTTTAATTTTATTTGCAATTTTAAGGGCTATTTCAATTGGTATCAGATTGTTTGCACCTGCAAGGCAGAAAATTTTCTTAGCAATTACAGCTATATAAGAACTTCATGCGTTAAACATAGAGAAACCAAAAGCATCCTGTTTAGATCAGTATACTTGAAGTAGTGCTTGCCATAGGATGAACAGCAGACAGAATGCTTAAAAGTTGGCTAAAGAAAGGACTAGATTTAACAAATATCGGAGAAGTCTCCTTGAGCGATAAACATGAAAACATCTTTTATAACCTGGCAATAAGAAACATGAAACATGTAGTAGGAAATATATGAAGTAGCCACAGGCTGACGACAACATGTACTTCTAATAGGGATAATTGCATAAAGAGGTAACAGGAAACTGAAACTGCAATGTCATACTGACTTTTCTTGCATAGTACTTTGATTTGGTCAATATATTAACAGTTGAATTTATGCATTGTATTGTCTTTATAACTGCATAAGGAAATAAAACTAGTAATTGTAGCCCAACTCTTCTATTATTGACATGTGTCTCACACCAAATTGAGTGTGGGAAAACTCGCATGGAGCTGGAGCTTACATATCCTCTACCACAAAGATGATGTTTTAGCCCCAGCAGGAGCATGTCAAGAATACAAAATTATCTTCAATATTTCAAAAGATTAAGAAGGCAGCTGGCATTGAATATACACATGCATCAGCTTCTGTTGCTTCCAACGAAGGTCCTTCCAATTACAGAGAGAAACTTAATGATGAGAATTCTATAAATTTGAGATCCATGAGCTGGCAACCAAGGGCCAGTTGAAGGGGAATACATTACCACAAGTATTACCTTGATCAGTTGAATTCAGAAGCAACTAATCTAACTGCAAATCCCTTATCAGTGAAGTAGCACTGACCACTTTATTCAAATTTAAAAATGACAACGGCGGATGAACCATATTCTGTGTCAAAGTTAACAGAATAATTCTTGAGGTTTTCCAAATTTAGTTAGTCTAAATGACTCATGACCTACACACCATAATACAGTTTCTATTCGGCTGGTGAATAGTGTAAGCATAACAATATGCTGCCACCTAGTTATGGTCCTGCATAGAGGTTCACAGTTAGATCTATAAGCACAAAATGTGTGCCTTTTGGTCCTTGAATTAGCTGCCCTCTTTTTCATCAGGAAAACATTTGCATACTTGCAATGAAAAGAGAGTTCATGATTAGTGCCCTTCACAAGAGGCAAACACATGATCTTCCTACAATGTCCATTAGAACATTAAGTGATCGTTATTGGCTCGCTGAAGCCACAAAATATCATTTTAAACAAGTGTCATACAACAAAATGATATCTTAATTGCTTCACATTTTGCTCTGTTCTGTTGAGCAATCATCCTATTAACATACTAATTGATAACAAATGATTAGCTGTACATGACCCCAAGTTAACAAGTGCACTGCAAACTTAGAACAATTGCATAAAAGGAAAAAGTACATGCATTGAATAACATAATTATGCCAGAGACATGGTAATAATTTGAGAATAGCAAAATTATGAAGATTCTGAAAGATAAAGAGTGGAAAAATAGGGAATGTCACTGTCACAGGAATAAGGTTTATAATCAAGTGGTCAAGAATAAACAGACGAAAACTAATTCATTGGTGTTCTCAATCAGCATAATGTAGCTTCTGGCTCTAGTTAAGTCAAAGTCTTCTATACGATAACTAAATCTCAACTAACTAAATACTAGACAAAGTCTAATAATTCAAGTTTTAACAAATTGATAAGAACTGACCAAATCTATCTCTAGCCTAATCTCATCTTATCTAAATGATTAAAATTAAATAAGAAACAAAAAAATTCAAATTTTCAAATCCATATGATTTCAAATTTTCAAAAAATTTAACCCAATAACCATGGGATGCCACTGCTAAAGGATAGGGTTCATCTCCATATTCTCTATCTCAAACTTACCCACTTCAAAAGAAAAGATATCCAGCATTACATGGGGTGGACTTTACATTCTATACCATGATAACTTTCACTCTAATATAAACAAATCGTTAATCTTATTATGAAAAAGAAATGACGCTATTATAACAAAATTTCACCAAGAAGAGCTTATGCTAATGGTAAACAGACAAATCCAAAGCTCAACTAAGTTAAACACATGCATTTCATCATAACACACCTAGCTGGTCATGCTTACCTAGGTCTTTGTTTGAATCCCAATTGTATGATGAACCAAGAAAGTACTGGTTTTCAATGTAAAGGAAGTGTTGGGCAGCACGTATGGCCTTGACATAAGCAGTATGTATGCTCATGTCAATCAGTACATTTTTACCACATATTAGATTCTGTAGCAAAAAAATTCACCAGTTAAGTTTAAATAAAAAACTGCAATGAAAAGATACACAAATCTTGTCTACACCTAGTCAGATAATGATTTACCTTGCTAGTAGCAATTTTTGGATCCTTAGGAAAACCTTTGACAGAATTTGAATCGATTGAGCGGAAGATCTGAGACAGTAATGCAGGTAAGACACAAAGCAAACAGAACAATTAATAATTTCGTATAAACTTAAACATATCATACCTGCACATGCCAAGTCTCAGGATCAGTATCGTTTATATATGGTGACTCATGCATACCTAAAATCTCTGGGACTCTACTAATATTAAGCAAGGCGTCATCATAAGACTTCTTTATTTTCTTTATTCCATGGCGTTTTGCTGTCTTTAACCACCGTTCTTCAAAATTTGTCAAAACGTCGTAAGCTGCTAGACCATCAATTCTAGTATGCAAATCATGCCAGGGTTCTCTTGGACCATTGACTACAGGAACCTAACAAGGAGATACAATTCATAAATAATAAGTGCAAGCAACATTTATCCGACTAGAATAAGATGGAACATAACAATGCTACCACAGAGCGTTGAACATAGATAATTGTGATGGTTATTTGCCTAGATATGATATTAATGTAGTTGTTTTCGTCATCTTCTAATCAATTTTATTGTTCAGTGTTTGTTTTAGGTAATTTCTTAAGCTGCAAGCTCAGATCAAATGAAAATATAAACGTAGTAAATCAAAGGAGTAATTACTATGAGAAGCCTGCAAATCATACAATCTATAGATATATGCCAGACCAAATAGGTGGACAGTAAATAAAAGTGAAAACAACTTGTCTTTCTCATATACGTTAACAATTTTTACAGTGACAATTATTATACCCATGCTTGAACTAATTGTTTTGATTCCTTTGGTTCATATAGGCTGGTTTATACGTCCTTCGAATGCGTTAATAATGCAGGACATCTTGAAGATCAAATTAGTTAGTTTTTTAGAATTTGATTTTTTTTAAAGCTGAGATGTCAGGATATCTAGTTAGAAACTGGTATTGAAGATTTGAGGGATTATTAATATGGAAGTAACCCTAAAAATTTATGTGTTGTTTTTAGTTTTTGGATTATTCAGGGTTTTATTTCTAATTTTTTAATCTTCAGGGTTTTTTTGCTACTTCATGGGCATTTTGTAATTTTCAGATTTTTCAGAGGTGTTTCTAATTTTTTAAACTTTTAAGGCTTTTTGAAAAAAAAAATTATGGAGTATTTTGTATTATTTCAAAATTTTAAGTAGGATGCATCTTATTTTAACAATTTTCATAGATGTAGTTGTAAACTTTTCAAGAGGCTAGTTTTAATTTTCTAAATTTTCAAGGGGCTGGTTTTAAAATTTTGAGGGGAATTTCTTGTAAAATTTCAGGGATTATTTGTAATTTTTGAACTTTTCAGAAGACAGTGAATTTCAAATTTTTTAGGTATTGTTCGTAATTTTTGGATTTTAAGGCGGACAATTTATAATTTTCTAAGTTTTATTGTGTTGTTTGTAATTGTTAGATTTTTTAGGGATTTATTCACAAATTATGGATTCAAATGGGTTATTTGCAAATTTTTTATTCTTAAGGGGTCTGTTTGGATTTTCAGATTTTTCAGGGAGGTGTTTATATTTTTAGATCTCAAAGGGTTGTTTGTAACTTTTGGATTTTCAAGGGACTATATGTAGTTTTGGATTTTGAAGGGCACAGTTGATAATTTTCTAATCTCGAAGAACCCTTTTATATAAAAAATGATTATAAAAAATGAGGTATTTGAGTATCACAGTTTTCTTAATGATGGATAGTTTTAATTTCATGAGGATTCTTAGGTGAAAATAGGATTAGAAATGAAGACCTTGATTAATAGAATTTTCTAATTATGGATAGCTTCATTTGATGAGTATTTTCTTGATGAAGATAGGGTAGATTGTGTTTTTGAATACCTAAGTTGCATAAAAACAAGTACGACCATCAATACGGGAGCGGATACGAGCACAAGACGCATCAAATTTGTAAAATATAAAGAACAACAAAATAGGGGGGGGTGTGTGTATATAAGGCTAATGGGTATCATATGCATACGAGAGAATTCTCTCATACACAATGATGTGGCTGTAGGCTGTCTAAAAAAAAACACAATAGATAGCTTATTCCCCATCAACCACCGATGATGGAAGTTACAATCTAACGACTTCCAGAAGGCTACAATTTGAAGACTTTCACGTAGATCGCTGAAGGTTACAATCTGACGACCTTCACGACAACCGATGAAAGCTCTAGGTCAAGGAGCCAAGACGAAGATTACAAGACAATGATCTTTGCAACGCTATGACAAAAGAGATTACTTTGTGATAATCTCTTCAAATCAAGACGCGGAGGTCCTCCCCGTGTGTCAACATCAAAACGCTAGGGTCGAACCCGCGTGTCAACATCAAAACGCCAGGGTCGAACCCGCGTTACAACATCAAAACGGCAGGGTCGAGCCCGGACCCCCGCATTTCCAAGCAGGCAACAAGCCAAAACGCGAGCGACCCTCGCGTTCAATGATGTTCAGCTAACACCCAACCTCGCGTCTCAATTCTAAGAGGCGAAGTTGGGTGCTAAACGCCAGATTGGGCGTTTGACTCGTTCAAACATGAGTCGAACGGTTTCACTGGAGTCGGACCCGCGTTACAACATTAAAACGCTGGGGTCAGACCCGCGTTTTTCAATGCCCAGCGAGTACCCAACTCCGCGTCTCAATTCTAAAACGCGGAGTTAGGATCCTGAACGCCCACGTGGGCGTTTGACTCGTTCAAACACGAGCTGAACGATTGCAGGAACCGTTTTCCCTCCACGATTTGAGGGATTTCCGCCCTACTATGGAGAGAATTAAGGGGGCGGTTACACCCCTTAATTCCCTATAAACATGGGCAAACTCAACTGAGTTAAGGGCTGGCATTTTCGGATCTGAGAATTGGCAGCAAAGGTTTTGGAGGAGATCGGCCTTGATCCTTCAGCAACATTCGGCAACAAGGAGATCTCGAAAGATCCTGGAGCAACAGCTTTTATCCTTGGCCTATAAACCGAACTTTCGGTTAGATCAACTCTTTTCAAGAGTTCAAACTCGTTCAGAGTTGTCAACTCATCAAGAGTTTCAAACTTGCAACGCAAGTTCTCCACAACTTTAAATCGTGAGGAGGAGATATCGTTCCAGTGAATCAAGACGGTCGGATCGTCAACGGAGAGCAAATTCGACGTGAGCAATCAAAGGAGGCATTCCATCGCTACCGAGAAAAACCCAGTTTTAAACAAAGGAGAGAATCAAATTCGTTCTCTTCTCTTTTGTAATCAAGTTGTAATCGGAATCAAAGAAATACAAGTCAATTTTCTTTATTCTTTTCATTGCAATTTTCCTTACACACACTTCCTAAATAAAAAGACCACTAAAATAAAGTGACTTTTCTAAAATAACTAAAAACCAGAATTTTCTAGCTCAGCTGAGCCTGAATACGAGTTTCTTTGAACTTGAAGCTTATTTGGAACTTATAATCAATTTTATGTGTAGAGAACTTTCTAAGCTTTCCAAAAACATATTATAATAAGGATTATATGTAGCGAGTCAAAAAATATCATCCTCCAAAGTTGCATCTCGAGATCTATCCGAAATTACCCGTTTTGCTTCAATTGTCCCGCTTTCACATGATCGAATTTTTTTCAAAAAAACATTAATTATTCCCTCCGCATCAACTAATTATGAGCCTAACAAGAAATTGAAACGTATGTTTGTCAGTTCTTGAGAAAAGAGGTTGAAGTAAGAACGAATTATGCTGGTTTTATTAAGCGGAGAAGCAAGCATACATGCGTTCACTGATAATTGGTCCCAACAATTAAACTAAACAGAATGAGAGTTGAATACACGTCTAACTTTGTTCATGTCACCCTGCTTTTGTTTTCTTAGTGGCTTGCGCTCATCCTTAATATTAATTATGTTAGAAGTTGTCACAAGGTATGTTAGGGGAAAAAAAACCAGAAAATGAAGGGAATAAACTAATAAAAGTTACGATCTAGGTCGTATATTAGTGAATCATGAAAATTGTTGCTCTGCTATTTGAGAACTAGTTTTTACCCGTGTGAATGTGATCCACAAAACTTAGCAATTAGCATCACGGTATTTTCAGGTGTTTTTGTGAAAGTTGAGGATCCATTGTAAGAATTTCTTATAGCATGATTAACAGAATTTAACACTCGTTTACATACTAAAACGAGATTGAATAAAATGATACATACCTTCTTCCATTGTTGAATGTAATGAACACCGAATTGCCGATAATTGTTCTTCCTTGTCCACTCCACAACACAAAACCGAGATGATGGATCATTATCACAGTGCATGATTATTGATCATACATTGTGTGTGGACTAGTGACTCTCTTTATAGAACTCCTACCATCAACTCAAGGAGTTCATAACTACCATGACATGTCATAGAAAATGAATAATTACGTGGTCACTTTCCCCTTTCAGTACGTCGGTCGACCGAATTCTTTCTTTCGGTCGACCGAAAATTCTGTCGGTCGACTGCCAATAGATCCGTTAGACACTAACGGCTATTTTTCTGAGCTGTCTTCTGGGGACTGTTTTGTCATTTTGTTTGGGGTTTTTGTTGAGATCTTGAGTGGGTATAAATACCCAATTGTTGATCTCTTTTCAAGCACCTAAGAAGTGTTTTAAACAAAGTTTTTAAACAAGGGTTTAGGGTTTTATTGTTTGTTTAAAGATTGGGTTTCTGTTTACAAAGGAGGAAGTTTTCACTGCAGATTGAGGAATTCATTCTCAATCCTCTTCATCCTCTTCTTTGTGTTTATAGAGAAGTTTTCTAACTCTTTTCTCCAGCAATTTCATTATTGATTTTCATATTCTTATTATTGCTAGTTTGCTAATTGAGTTAGATTTTATTTTACTCATTGTTACACACACCCACATTGAGCTTATAGTATTTACATACATAGTATAGTTGGGTGGTGAGAGATTGTAACTTTGAGTTGTGCTTTCATTGTGTTCTCATCCAAAGTAGAGAACAATCACTTACTGTATTTGTGCTTAATTGTGAAATCACTTTGTAATACACTTGTACACCGAGTGAGAAGTGTGTGGTGAGAATCGGGGATCGTCGCAAGAGGAGTGGCATCGGTTGACGTGCCTAGGGAGAGGTTGTAACCGAGCACTTGAGGGAGACACGGCTAGGTCCAACACTTAGTGGGTGTAGAGTGTGATTGCAAGAGTGTGAGTTGTAGAGTTTTCGGTTAGCTAGAAAACCGAGTGTGTAGAAGAAGTTCCGGCTTCCAAACCGGATTGTGTTAGTGGATTTCTCCCCGGGAGTGGGGAGCGGAAACGTAGGACGGAAGGTCCGAACTCCATGATCATATCTTGTATTTGAGTGTGCTTTGGCGTTTATTTATACTTGTGTTTATATTTCTTGTCTCCAGTGTCATTAGCTCATTATTTATATGATCCACTATCTTGTTTCATATTGTTTACCCTTGTGTTAGTTTCATATCCTTGCTCATTTTGTAATATCTTATTGCTAGGATATATCACTTAGTTCATATTGCTTATCCTAGCTTACATATCTTGTTGTGTTTCATATTTGCTAGGATAACTTATTAATTAATTTTAATTGGCATATCCCCCTCTAGGGTTCTTTCCTAGTGGCATTAGGGTCTAACAATTGGTATCAGAGCTTGGTGCTCTTTGATTTAAGGTCTAATCTCCTTGAGTTAAAGATCCAAGTTATCTTATTGTGCTAATCTTGTTTTGATTACATTTATATCTTGCTTGCCTTTTATATTATGGATATGCCTGGTTTAGGCTATGATTCTAGTATTGCTCCTAAATTCAATGTTTTCCCTTATGCTCAATGGTGTTTTAGATTCAAAATATTTGTTCAATCTAAAAATATCGATTTATGGGAAGTCATTGATTGTGCTTATATTGTGCCCACGTTGGAGAAATCCAAGTGGAGCAAACATGATAAAACTAAATGCTCTTAATTCATCTATGTCTAACAAGTTTGTTCATTTTGATAGTGCTTACACCTTATGAAAATTTATTGAAGCACATCAAGGGGACTTGGAGGCGATCCGACAAGCTTTGGAGGATCCGGCTTCAAGTTCATATGGAGCATCATGCACACGGCCACTAGGCGATAGTCCTAGTGAGGTTTGCAAGTTTGAAACCACTAATGATTTATCTAGTGATGAACTTGTTTGTGCTAGTAAAAAATTGTTGCATGCCTATAACAGAGAGAGAGAGAGAGAGAGAGAGAGAGAGAGAGAGAGTAAGAGATTACACTCTGAAAAGTATACAACTCACTCTCACAACCATACTTTACATTTCTAGTCACACTATTAAATAAACTTGAAGCTCATCATAAAATCAAACATATCAGACAATCATAATGAATGGATCCACCTTTGAAATTACACCAACCAATTCTAGATTGATGGAAATGAAAGTAAATAGACACATTTATCTTTCTTTACTTCCTCTCTTTATTGTTCACCAGAGCAAACAATGAAATTAGCCAGGATTGTAGTGGCTAGTTGCAAAGGTCAGGAGGTGGAGGCCGTTGTTGATGGAGTTTGATGTAGGACGGGAAGTATGAGAGAGATTGAGAGGGAGAGAGAGAGAGAGAGAGAGAGTAAGAGATTACACTTTGAGAGGTTTGAGCTTGATTGTTTAATTGGGAATGTGAATTGAGTTGTATAATGATTGAGGTATGAATGGTTAGAGTTTAATTTGTAGTTAGTAGGGCTATTAAATTGATGATGATATTTAATTGGCAGTTACAATAAGAATTTGAAGCTATTGCATAGTAGGATATGTTGTTACATAGTATAATTAGTACTACTACTACATAGTATTATTATATTGAGTTATTATTATATAATAATAGAGAAGGAGTTTAATTGAATTAATTTTTCTAATGGTAGTGAATGTAAATTGGAGGTGCATTTATTACATTTAATTTAATTGGTGGTTATGAGAAAGCTTTGAAGGAGTATGGTTTATGTATATATGTGTTTTATGTATTCATATATGTGTTTTTATGTATGCACATGTGTTTTAGCATGCCTTGGAGGGTATTTTTGGAAGAAATATTTTAACATGACAACACACTTTTATAATAATATTAGATTAGATTAGATAGATTAGATTATTACTACTACTACATAGTATTATTATATTGAGTTATTATTATATAATACTAGAGAAGAATTTTAATTAAATTAATTTTTCTAATGGTAGTGATTAGTGAATGCAAATTGGAGGTGTATTTATTATATTTAATTTAATTGGTGGTTATGAGAAAGATTTGAAGGGGCATGATTTATGTATGTATGTGTTTTATATATTCATATATGTGTTTTTATGTATGCATGTATGTGCTTTAGTATGACTTGAAGGATATTTTCGGAAGAAATGTTTTAACATGTCAACACACTTTTATAATAGTATATTAGATTAGATTAGATTAATAAACAAGTTTCTTCGCTATTGTTAGCATTTTCATTCTTTCGTCTCAATTGCCTTTAATTATGGCAATGTTTTAGCAAGAATGAATCTTATGCTGATGATTTGAGATGCAAATACAGTTTAGTTGAAGCTCCGAAACTCTAAGATAACACTAAGTAGATGAAGAGCATGAGGAAGCTTCTTTGTGGGGATTGTACTCTTGAAGTTCTGTAAGATAATTATCTATAGACGCTTTGAGATAGATATTTCAGTGTGAAAGGTTTACAAACTTTTACAATTTGTCAATTTCTGAAGAAATGAATCTCTAAAGGGGATGTCATTGGCGATCCTTTGGATCTTTGCGTTACATGAATCAACATTTTAACAAGCTTTTTACAATTTTCTATGCCATGATAAATCGAGGGATTGATTTCATAAATAAATTGGATAAGCTGCATAATTGGGGGAGCTTGTATGGTTGTTTCAATTGAATAAAGGATTATTTTCCCCCGATATTAGTACTAATAAATCTTTAATATTTGACTGAGCCCCTCAATTTATTGAATTGCTATTATGGCCCCCACATGTTTATAAGTTATCTGAAAATTAGTCCCTCAGACGGTCGGCTCATTGAAATTGCTATTCAGTCTCCCAATTTTTATGGGCTATTCGAAATTAATCCCTTCAATAAAGAGTCGGGGATTTAAATAACAAGTTCAGTGATTTGAGGGACTAATTTCAAAATGTTAAGGATTTACGGACTAATGTCGAAAAAAATCCTCTACCATCTGCACAAAAGTCCTTCCGTTCCCAGTAAATTCCCATCGTTTCGACTCAACGATGGAGGGAATCGAGCACCAAAATTCTCAAAATCTCGAAACTCTTCAAAACCCTAGCATCTCTCAACAAGATCCAGAACCAACAGAGGCCAAGCCCGCTGCTGCTCTCGATCGAAATGAGATCTTCAAAGCACTGGAGATCGTTGAGAGGGACGCCGTCGCCATTGCCGACAGCTACGCCTCCCTCTTCTCCTCGCTTCGAATGGCTCTCTCTGAGGTTCGATTCGTTAAACATCACTACAGTTAGATTTAGTTCGTCGAGAGCCGCAGAAAGCTGTGTTCGGTTTTAATTTTGATTGGTAACGTCAGAACTAGGGTTTTGACGAGTACTGAACTTTAAAATTCAATTTAAAAAAAATCGGTTTTTAATATTTGAGAACAAATTTACAGCATATTGTGATTGATAACCGGAAAGAAACAACAAAATCTTGCAAATGGAAAACACAAGTATTCATAAGTTGATTCTGCTGTATAGTTTTTGCTGGGCTTGTGTTTCAATTTCTGATTTTTACTGTATTATGACATGTTTTGCTGTTTATTCCTTGAAATGTTTGTGTTCTTTTGATGATATAATTCTAGTAGGTAAAGGGTACTCAAATAGTCAAATATTTCTGATAATGTATTAATATAAGAATTTGCACGTGCTTATCATCTTGATTCTATTTTTTTTGCCGAGAATCTTTGACACAACAACTCACATCATGTAGGCAACAAGTACGTCCGTGGAGAATATGCAGTGTTTCAGTGATGTTGTTGGATCCATACAGGAATCTGGTAAACTAACTCGGTGAACCATATTTTCTTGGCACATGTTAACCTTAATAATAATTATCTCGTCTATAGCTGCATACAAGAATCTCATAAGCTTATTTTGTGCACCATCTATATGTATGCTAAACTTGATTGAATAGTATAATTTACTACAAACTGTATAATTTTGTTGCAGATGATAGTGAGTTTAAACTTTAAACGATACTTTCATCTGGGTCTGTTTTTATATCACTGTTCTACCACATAAATGTAATTCTGGTTATTTTGTTTCATTGTTACACACACCCCCACATTGAGCTTATAGTATTTACATACATAGTATAGTTGGGTGGTGAGAGATTGTAACTTTGAGTTGTGCTTTCATTGTGTTCTCATCCATAGTAGAGAACAATCACTTACTGTATTTATGCTTAATTGTGAAATCACTTTGTAATACACTTGTACACCGAGTGAGAAGTGTGTGGTGAGAGTCGGGGATCATCCCAAGAGGAGTGGCATCGGTTGACGTGCCTAGGGAGAGGTTGTAACCGAGCACTTGAGGGAGACACGGCTAGGGCCAACACTTAGTGGGTGTAGAGTGTGATTGCAAGAGTGTGAGTTGTAGAGTTTTCGCGTTGAAAACCGACACTGTGAGGTGTAAATGTTATTCGGGTGAGCGTAGAAAACCCGGTTGTGATAGTGGATTTTTCCCAGGGAGTGGGGAGCGGAGACGTAGGACGGAAGGTCCAAACTCCGTGATCATATCTTGTGTTTGAGTGTGCTTTGGCGTTTATTTATACTTATGTTTATATTTCTTGTCGCCATTGTCATTAGCTCATTATTTATATGATCCACTATCTTGTTTCATATTGTTTACCCTTGTGTTAGTTTCATATCCTTGCTCATTTTGTAATATCTTATTGCTAGGATATATCACTTAGTTCATATTGCTTATCCTAGCTTACATATCTTGTTGTGTTTCATACTTGTTAGGATAACTTATTAATTAATTTTAATTGGCATATAATCGGATTAGATTAGCATAAGACCCTAATCACCCCCCCCCCTCTAGGGTCCAACAATTTACACCCTATCCTGTTATGGTCATTTATACCATGTCCTGGTCTGTATGGTACATGTAGTCATCTTACTGCTATAAACACCTAACCATCTAAATGATTCTAGCAAAAAAATGTTCATAACCATATTTGATGTTGATTTTCTAGACATAGTTCAGTAAGTGGAAAAAACATATAAATATGAGGAAGGATGTACATAACCATAAGTTCAGTAAATGGAAAAACACCAATCACACATAGCATTGTGTGCATTTATGATTCCAGACATAGTTTGGTATTCCACTAATTGATTCTAGACATTGTGTTCAAAAGAGACATAGTTTGTTATTCCACTAATTGATTCTAGACATTGTGTTCAAAAGAAAAATAGTTTGTTATTCCACTTATGATTCCACAGAAAGTTTGTTATAGTGATTATGTCAAGAACTATGATACATGTAAGTATAAATGATTAAGAATTAAAAGTATAAATGATCTGACACCAAGTAATTAAAAGTAGAATTGCATATACATGTAAGTATAATCTTTTGATGTAGTCATCTTAAATTAACAGGGATGCTTTGATAATGCACAATCTTTATTGATGATCCTGGAAAAGATGCATGTAAACTTACAGGACCTCCTATTAAATTTTAACCAAGTGCTTATTGATCTCAACAACCAACCTACATTATTATGTTGTTCATGTTTACAAACTTTATTACTCGTTCAGGAAAATATTCAAATAAACCTATGCCAGTATACTTGACCAGGACCTCTAAATAGTGGAAAAATTCATGAAGACAATATCACTTTTGTAGTTATACATGTATCATTTTTATAACACATAAAGTAGGACTTATATTTTGCATTCAATCTACATTCGTACATTTATTTGAGAATTGGAAGTAGATAGGCATATACATGTAAGTAGAATTAGAATTTTGCTCAGGTATGAACATGTCTGATTAAGAATTAAAAGTAGAATTAGAAGTAGATTTTGTTCATGAAAATTTTCTTCAAATAAACCAGTGCCAGTAAACATGATAAATTTATGTCTCATGAAAATTTTCTTCAAATAAACCAGTGCCAGTAAACATGATAAATTTATGTCCTATTAAAACTTTGTTGAAAACCAAGATCACAATAAACCAGTGCCAGTAAACATGATAAATTTATGTCCTATTAAAACTTTGTTGAAAACCAAGATCACGGAAACAAAATTACTCCGATTGCTCCCAATCATTCAATTTTTCACAAAGGAAAGGAAAAAGTATGAAAATAAAAAAATAGGAATATAAAAATCAAGAAATAGGAATTTATTTAGATAACATACCTCAAATCCTTTGCCTCCCGTCGCCAATTGCTCCCAATCGACTGAAAATTTCTCTCTTCTTAATTATTCCCCCAAAAAATAGCGCTATATAGTTGAGAAAGATCGCTCTGGTGAAAAAAATAGAGGGAAAATTTAGAGGGAAAATCGGGAGGGAAAGAAGGAGAGGGATTCTCTCAAAGATCTTACCTTCCATTTCTGTTCGCCGATTCTCGTCGCCTATTATCACAAAATCCTGATTTTCCTTAATTCCTATGGCTACCCACGCGTGAGAAGGCGGAACAAGCCTTGTTCCGCCTTCCCATGAGTATTAGTTATCCCTAGGGTTAGGCTGATAAACGGGATAAAATCATCATGTGCGGGTTTGTTATTCTGTGGGCGTTTTTTGGTGTTTGGCAGAATAATGAAGGGTTAAACCACCTTAACCCCTCATTTATCCCCTTGCTAAACGGGGAGTATCAGATAATTAATAAGCAATCATGCATGTATTTGGAAGTTATTTTAGTATTTTGATTCATCATTCTTTGTCATCTTATTGCAATATGTTCATTCCCACATTTGAGAAATGAGAATGGACATTTTACCTTCTAAAGAGACCTCCGTTTTGTAAGCATGAATCAGAAATAAGAACGAGCATTCTATTTCCACCCGTTCACGCATACCAAACAAGGCAAAAAGAAGTACCTAGAAACAACTATTTTTTATTATAGTCGCTAACTTATTTAGTGGCTAGTTTTAATTTGTGTATGAGTGTAAATAATTAGGAATAAATATAATTCGTTAAAGATATGATGAGTTCAAGATTTACGATGAACGGTTCCCACCTATTGACAAATCAATGGTTATAATAAAAGTTGTTGTCCTTTCATTAATTTTCTGCAATGGAAGTATCTAAATCTCCATTTTATAGGAATTTTGATCCTCTCCGTTATTAATAAGTAGTTTCAGTAGTGGAAAGGGCACTACTTTTAATTACAATTATGATTGTTTAATGAATGGTTGTGATATAGTAAAGTATTATAATTGAACTTAATCAACACCCCCCCCCCCACCTAGGGTTGTCCAAGATGACCAGTCTAGCCTGCAAATATGGGTCTTGGCTAGAAAGAATGCCCTGATAGGATCCGCAGTCGAATCTAGGTGATTGCGGGCTGGGCATTAGGTTGGTCTGGCTATTTTTACTTTTTTGCCCAAAAACATGTAATGGTTTGCAAAAAATTAAAAAAATCACTTTGGATTTTTGGTATTTTAGTAACAATGGTTTAATGAAATATTTTTTAAAACATAGGGCATTGAATGAATGTATTTAATAAGCTATAAAAATTTAATTTTAAAATGATTTATATTTAAACAAAGTATTATATCCAGCTAATTTACATTCTCCTTCATGATTTCAACATAATCTCAAGCAAAACATTCATCATACTACAAAACAACAATCATATCATCGAAGATCTGAGCTCTTAGGAAAAAAAATCTAATAACATATTCAATATGTCAAAACCTTAACATGACATTGCAATGATTTAATTAAAAATTTTTTAAGGATAAATAAAAAAGTTTCAACTTGGTAGATTCAAACTAGTGACTTAAAGAATTACCTATTACTGTGCGCTGCGGAAGCCAAACAACCAAACCAACGTGCTACGAGAAATCAAATCAAACGAACGTCGAGAGAAGGCCAAACGAACCAAATCAATGCCACAAACATAAACAACCAATTTTAACGTAGTTCGGCAAGTTGCATACGTCCACAGGGCAAGAAGAGGATAGGGTTTTTTACTAATAGAGAAGAAAAATACAAACTAAGATTACAAATCACTCAAACTCACCAATTAATCTCACCAACAAATCTCTAATTCTCTCTAAACAAAACCCTAACCAATAGATCAGAAAATACCTCTTTTTTGTGCTCCAAATATCCCCAATTTTCTTTTCAATTCTCTTTTCTAATTGTTCCATATATATAGACATCCTAAAATCATAAACATACTAGGAATTCTAAAACAAAAAATAAAACAGATTAAGAATCCTAATAACCTGTTACCAAAACAGATTTGCAATTATGTTACCAAAACAGATTTGCAATTATGTTACCAAAACAGATTAGGAATCCCAATAACCTATTATCAAAATAAATTAGGAAACATATTAGGAACCTGCTATCCAACAATTCTCCACATCGGTGAAATTTTCCCAAAACTGAGCTGATACTAATACCAACCAAACGTCTCACTTGTTACGTCCAGTACGAAATGGAACAAATCCACGACAATGAACTCAATCCACAACAAGTCGAGAACCCAAACGAGAATACAAACAAACTCTAAATGTCGGTATCAACTCACCAAACCGGCTGTATCATAAATGACTGCCTATGTATCCTCTTGCCTAAGGAATCAAGCTTTTACATAGTTCACCCAAATGACATCCAAAGACCCTCAATCAAATAGAAAAGTTTGTAACTCTTCACCAATATCACCAATGAATCTGTAACTGATAGCGCTCCTAATGGCCCCAAACTGAAACAAATCAAACACCTCCACTAGAGGTGAACTAATGACCGTATCCAAAACATGTCCATCAGCTGCCCTCAAATCCAAAACCAACTCATCATCTGCATCCAAATCCATATGATCTCCAAATTGTGTCACCTCAGTTAGAATCCTAAACGATACAGTATGATCTGGAGTATGTGGAGTAATCTCCATCCAATGTGATATCCCAATGATCATACTGTATCGTTTAGGACCTTTGAATTCCAAACGTGCAATCGAATCAAATCTCACATCCTTGATGTGACCAAATGTTGGACAACCAACTATCCGACATAACCCAAAATCTAAAGCAGCTCAACCAGATCCAAAATATCCACACACAGTAG